GGAGCCGCCGAGGGGGATTGCACGGTCCCGTTCGCGGCTGTTTTGTGGGGATGTCCCAAGCGGTTTGCTGGTTTTCTGTCCCAACATCCTTCGCTTGGAGAGCATATTTCGAGGATGTCTCAGGCGGGGCGCTGGTGTCAGCTACCTAAGGGGAGCCGCCACCTACGTATCCCAAATGCATGCAATATTATTTGTTTTAAACGATGCGCATATGGGGAGCTCCACGCAGTGAGTAATGAGTGTTCGCTCGCTTTTTTCGCTCTTTTTTTCCGCTCGAATTATTTTCGCTCTATTTCGTTTCGCTCGCTTCTGTTTCGCTCGGCTTTTTGTTCGCTCGGTTTCGTTTCGCCGGTCTCTTCTCGCTTGGTTTTCGCTCCGGTTGCCCTGGTGCAACCGAACGAATTAAACCAGAACGAATTAAAACCCGAGCGAATTGAAACCGAGCGACTTCAAAACATTTAAACCCGAACGAGTTTAAACCCGAGCGGATTTAAACCCGAGCGAATTTCAACCGAGCGAAATTAAACCCGAGCGAATTGCACACCCGAGCAAATCCGAGCGGACTTGAACCCGAGCGAATTTTAACCGAGCGAATTTTAAACCGAGCGAGTTTCAAACCGAGCGAGTTGTAATTCGAGAGAATTGCAATTCGAGCGACACTCAAGTCGAGCGATTTCGAGTTCGCTCGAACGCAGAGGCCCGATCCGGCAGAGGCCCGCTCCGGCAGAGTCCCGTGGCCTGCTCTGGCAGATTCCTGTTCTGGCAGAGGCCCGCTCTGGCAGAGGCTCGTTCCAGTACCCTTGCAGCTTCCGTGTCCAACACGCCCATCAGCACTCCGCTGGCGCAACTTGAGCACACCCCTCTACTCCACAGCTCCGTCCCAAACACAACACCCAATACTCCACAGCCTTCGTAAAAAAGTAATAACACACATCTCGATTGCGCACCATGCTTTGATGTCCCGCCCGCCCGTTCCGACCCGCCCGTTAGGGTCCGCCCGCCCGACCCGATCCGACCCGCCCGTCCGCCCGCCCGACCCGGCCCACCCGTTAGGGGACTCGCGTGCCAACTCGATCTGCACGCGTGCCAGCTCGATTGTACACGATACTTGAATGGTCCGCCAGCCCGACCCGTTCCGCCCGTGAGGGTCCGCCCGCCCGACTCGACCCGACCCGCCCGTTCGACTGGCCGCGCGTTGGGCACGGCGCGCGCCGGCTCGATTCGTGCACCAGACTTGTAAGGGGGAATCCTCGAACCCGACCCGCCCGTTAGGGTCCGCCCGCCCGACCCGATCCGACCCGCCCGTCCGCCCGCCCGACCCGGCCCACCCGTTAGGGGACTCGCGTGCCAACTCGATCTGCACGCGTGCCAGCTCGATTGTACACGATACTTGAATGGTCCGCCAGCCCGACCCGTTCCGCCCGTGAGGGTCCGCCCGCCCGACTCGACCCGACCCGCCCGTTCGGGTCCGCCCGTTCGACCTGGCCCGCGCGTTAGGGCACGCGCGCGCCGGCTCGCTTGTGCACCATACTTGAATGTCCCTCCCTCCCGACCCGACGCGCCCGCTAGGGTCTGCCCGCCCGACCCGACCCGACCCGTTGGGGTTCCGCCCGACCCGCCGTTTGGGTGCGACACGCCCGACCCGCCCGTTTGGGTGGACACGTGCCAACTCGAATGTGCACCATTTTTTACTGTCCCCGGCCTTTGGGCGACCAGGCTTCGAGGCGAACGAGCTTCCAGCCGAACCGGCTTCCAGTCCGAGGCGGGAATTTAGAGACCATTTCTTTATTGCTAGGGGCATGACGGGCGTCATGGCCCCGCCCCCCCCTATGACGTAACGCTCCCCCCCCAGTGCGCTCTGGGCACTGCCGACGTGCGTATTGGGATCCATGACGGGCGTCATGGCCCCCATACCCCCCCCCCTATGACGTAACGCTCCCCCCCCAGTGCAGTGCGCTCTGGGCACTGCCGCCGTGCGTATTGGGATCCGCGTAGGTGTCCGCGTAGGAATCCGCATAGGAGTCTGGTCCGCAGTCGTCGTCGTCGACGTCGTCGTCGTCGTCGTCGTCGTCGTCGTCGTCGCTCGTGGCTCGTGGCTCGTCGCTCGTCGCTCATCGTCGTCGTGCGCGCGGACGCGGCTGGAGCCTGTTTTTTTTATTCCGGGCCGATGACGGCAATCATCTGGGGGGGTGGAGGGGGTCGATGACGTCACGCTTCGCGCCGGCGGCGCCTGGGAATGCTTAGGAATGACGGAGGACGGGTGGCACCAGCATGTAGGTGGCGATCTGCACCACAACGCCTGTGTACACCTCAGTGCTTGCGTGCACCACAGCGCCTGTGTACACCACACCGCCTATCTACACCACAGCAGCCGCGTGCAACACAGCGTCAGTTTGTGCCACCGCGCGCGGGCACAACAGCTCTTGTGTACACCACAGCGCCTGCGTACACCACATCAGCCTTGTGCAACACAGCAGTGTACACCACAATGCCTGCGTGC